AAGCAAAAGAAAGAGCGAACAACATTTCTTTTTGGTTCGATCCAAATTACATTGGGTATTTCCGGTTAAAGTCCAACTGGTTTGGTTCTATTAATTTCCTCTCCTTCTTCCAACTGAATAGAAGTGAGGAATTTGCAGAAATATCCAAAGGCTGAGAACGATAACAACCTCGATCAAAAGAGTGAGTATAGACGTTCAACAAGGTGAAGGAGGCAATAATCAAAACAATTGCTTCCTATAGCGGTTGAGCGTCTACATTCTCTCTTTCATCGAGATTGTTGCCGCTTTCAGCATATGGATAGTGGTAAAATATATGTACAATACAAAGCATATCTAACTATTTATAGCAAATCTATAGTTTACTTTTGCTTTCACAACCGATGTGGGATAAGTTGCTTTCATTCACGTGGGCTTTTTAATAACAAAAACATTGGATATAGCTAATTATGATCGATATGACTTTATTTACATTAGTTATTGGGCTTTTATTGGATAAAATCAAATTCTGTATTTATTATTGTTTGAAAAACGTGAAAATTAGAATTATAATCTTCATTTTTAACAAGAATTCATTTTTTTCGATTGTTTTAAACTGTACTTAAAATTTATGATAATGTATTTTACCATTGTAATATATATATTTATGTTCCATCTTCTTACAATAATATTATTATTTATAATAATTTCTATTTTGGATAATTTAAGCCGTACCAAACTCGAAAGATACCGACCTGAACCCAACCCAAAAATTTAAAATGCATGCCAAACGGGTTTGACATGACAAAATTAAATTACTGTTTAAAATCTTAAGTTAATTTGTTTATATTTTTAAAAATAATTCAATATACATTTCATTAATGATTAAGAACCTAGAATTCGTTATGCCAATGAGAAATAAACAAAAAATATGGATCACTAAAAATAAATACTTATTATTTATACACATAAAAAGACTTTCTTCAAAAATATATTAAATATATGTATATTTGAAAGAGATTACATTTGGGAAATTTATATGGAAACATAAAAATATATTTACTTTGCACAAATCAATTTTATAAAAGTTAACAAAAATCTATGTAATCCATGAAAATTCATAAAAAGTCATTAATAATAATCTATAATAATTATTGAAACTCTTTAAATCTCTAACTTTAAAAATCTACAAACTCTTCACAAATCAACTTACCAATAACTAGATTTGGATTCTAATCCAAACATCTTAAAAGGTTAGTATTTTTTTTTTCTCTTTCTTAAAAGGTTAGTATATTTGATCATTTTTTTCTTTGGATGCCTTAATCATAAAAATAGATTTATTGATTTGTTTGTTTTAACTTTTTGTAATTATGATTTGAAATTGACATATTAATTAACGTAAGATATTGATATGTAGACCGACAGATAAGTGGCAAAAAAGAGAGAGAAATTTACATTGGGCATTTCCGGTTAAAGCCCAAATGTTTTGGTTCTATAAATTTTCTCTCCTTCCAACTGAATAGAAGAGAGAAATTTGCAGAAATATCCAAAGGCTGAGGGCGGTAACAACTTCGAATGAAAGAGTGGGTATAGATGCTCAACAAGGTAAAGGAGGCAATAATCAAAAAAATTGCTTTCTATAGCGGTTGAGCGTCTACATCCTCTCTTTCATCGAGATTGTTGCCGCTTTCAGCATATGGATGGTGGTAAAATATATGTACAACACAAATCATATCTAACTATTTATAGCAAATCTATAGTTTACTTTTGCTTTCACAACCGATGTGGGATAAGTTACTTTCATTCACGTGGGCTTTTTAATAATAAAAACATTGGATATAGCTAATTATGATCGATATGGCTTTATTTACATTAGCTATTGGGCTTTTATTGGATAAAATCAAATTCTGTATTTATTATTGTTTGAAAAACGTAAAAATTAGAATTATAGTCTTCATTTTTTAACAAGAATTCATTTTTTCGAGTGTTTTAAACTGTACTTAAAATTTATAATAATGTATTTTTCCATTGTAATATATATATATATATATATATATGTATATATGTTCCATCTTCTTACAATAATATTATTATTTATAATAATTTCTATCTTAGAAAATTTAAGCCATACCAAACTCGAAAGATACCGACCTGAACCCAATCCAAAAATTTAAAATACATGCCAAACGCGTTTGACATCCCTAAACCCGAACGCTCACCCCTAGTTAAAGATAAAATAGGTTAGATTTTGTTGCTTGCACAAAAACGGTTCTTTAGTTAATGGTACTTACTACTTAGGATGGTTCACGTAAGGCCGTCTTTTGGAGGTGGTAAGACAAATGCCAAGGTTCCATAATCAATTTCAAAATTTTTTATTAAAACTAAAAGGCCCAATTTTTCCAACTAAGTTTTGCCATGGGCTCCATTTGAGACGGCCTTTCACATAGGAAAACAAACAATAACCGAATAAATCAAAAACCACGCCAACCGAATTCGATCTGATTTCAGTTAAACCGAATTGGTTTGCTTCAGCTGAGGTCTGAGAGACGGGCAAAAAAGAAAGGGGTCTTCCGATTCTTCGTAGAAGAAGAAAAGAGATAACAAGAAATTCAATGTTCCTGTCAAATTTTAAGAGAACTCAACTGGTAGATGCGATGTTGTGTAATAATTCATGGTTTGCTTTCAAATTTTGTTATTCCTTGACCTTTCTTTTATCATTGGTGTATAGTTTACTTGCTTTATGACATTGTGTCTTTACTTGTCTTTGCAATCCTTCTTAAGTCTTTATCCTGATTCAAATCTTACGGAAAGAAAGGGAGGAGAAATGACACTTGTTGGTGACGGATATATATATATATATATATATATTTACATGGTTTATCATCTCTGACACTTGTTTGACATGTGATCTTGTTTCTTCAACCCAATTTTTGCTCTGTTTTATTATCCTTGTTCTTTCACATGTCAGAGATACAAATCCTCTAGTGTATATATACTTTATATGTATGTATCAGAATCACACTACGGGACGCTTCTGTTCATGAATTCTTCGTAAAAAAGAGGGTAGACACTATTTATCAGCAGTCGTAGCTGTGTTTTCTATAGCTAGGCTCTGTTTTATCTGTCCGCACTAGCAAACTATGATATGATGAATCAAATGTGGTGAGTAAAAGATATGTATATTCTATTTTAGCACAGTTTCGAATTAACTTAAGGCTTATGGTTCTTTTTCTCTTTCTACCGTGGGGTTGCTAGTTATGCAAGCAAGCACCGTTCTTCTCTTAGGTTGTTTCTTCTATGTAAACCAAACACTTAAACAATAAAGTATGTGATCTATCTCCTAGGATTTATGTTCAAGAGCATGTAAGTGATCTCAAGGAAAAACCGAAGTAATAAAGAGAAAACAAAGGTTGCTAAGTAATAGTGAAAGCAGATAACGATGATATTGAGCTCACTTGTTCTTTTTTTAACATTAGAGAGAAAATTATTATACATGGGTGATGAAGAAGGAAGATGATGATTAATTGAACTTAATTACTACATGCAGGAGAAAAAAAAAAAAAACCAAGGTTGCATTGTAGAGTATAGCTTCTCCTAAGAGAGAGAGAGAGCCTTTAGCTTCTCCATCTTCTCCTTGTCCATTTCCATATTCTTCTTCTTCTTAAAACCTAATATAGAGTATAAACAAGAAAACTAATGAGAGGTTATATAACTGGTTATCAAGAACCAGGAAGCAAGAGCAAATTTAAGTACCTGGGGACATAAAGTCAGTAACATTGGTGCGGCTTCCTGGTGGCATATAGCCAGTTTTATTGGTGGACCGGTTTCTTTTTACAAGCACAACAGGACTAACTACAAGACTCATTCCTCCCACATTACATCCACTTAGTTTTATCGCCTTCTCTACACATCCTTCTCCTAAAAGATAAACGCAAGCACAGCTAGGGAGAACCATAACTCGCGTGACCTCTCCGCATGAAGAGAGAAATTCACACACCGCCATCTCGATATCAATATCAGGAAGCCAAGTGTCATATCCAGTAACGTTTACACTAGATTAAAAAGGAGATCAATGTTATTAACATGACAAGAACACATCGTACACAAGATCAAAACATATTGACCTGTGTTCTTTGGGCCTGGCAGCAGCAGCAGAAGCAGGACACCAAGGATCCATGACTTCTTTCTGCCATGGTGCAGCCTTAACGATAGCAGTCCATCCTCCCACGTCAGTGCCACTAAGTTCCAATGCTTTCTTATTGGCATCTTCTCCTTCAATCCTCATGAAAGCAACTCTCTTGAGGGTACCACTTTCAAAGTCTCTTGGAACATAGATATGTTTGATTTTTCCGCATGAAGAGAAATGTTTTCTCAACGCGAGCTTGAGAGGATACGCGTGAAGGGAAGTGGCATATCCTTCAACGGAAATCGGGCCTCTGATTGCATCACTTTCGTTCAATTTCAGCGATTTCAGACCCTAAGGTACAAAAGATCTAATCAGAAATTCTACTACTTCATATATTTTCTTCTTCTTTCTTGTGAAGAAAGAAACCATTAATAGAGAAAGAAGAAATATATAATTAAGGAGAAGAAGATTACTTTGATGGCGGATTCGTCCATGGTGATAAGTTGAGAACTAGGGTTCGAAAGATATTTTTCAGATCTAGGGATTTAGGTCTGAAGAAAGGTTTTTTTTTTTTTTTTTTGTTAATTCCCTTTTTTATTCTGGTTTGAAAAACTTAAGATAATTTTAGTTGTGAAACTATGAACACGTTACAGCAGGCTCCACTCGTGGCCCTCGTTTTAGACATGTAGTCAAAGTTAGGTGTGGATAGTGGACTCATTAAGTCAACTCTTAAACACTTTTTTGACTACTCGCGGAATAACACCGGTCTTAAAATAAAAAAAAAAAAACCAAAGAGATGAACAAAAAGTCTTATTTGGTGTCTCTCATTTTCAAATCTCTCTCTTTGTGTCTCTCTCCATACATTCAAACTCTTCAAGAACTACTTCCTCTTCACTTTGAGAAGAAGAACAAACCAATATAACTCCAAAATACACCGAACAACAAAAAATGGCGTTGATGAGTTCAAGAACAACACAAGACAACTTAGTTATGGTTCCCACCAGATTGAATCACCACCAGTTAGACTCAAAACCCTCCGGCGAACAGAAAGTCCCCGTCGTTTATTATCTCAGCCGGAATGGCCAACTCGATCACCCACACTTCATTGAAGTACCTCTCTCTTCTCAATACGGTCTCTATCTCAAAGGTAGTAAAAATCTCATCTTTTTGCTCTGTTTTGCTCTGTTTTACTCTGTTTTGCTCTGTTTTGTTTTACCTCTGTTTTGATATCATAAAGTTTCGATTTTTATTTTGTTTTCTCAGATGTGATCAATCGATTGAATGATCTACGAGGCAAAGGAATGGCTTCTCTCTACTCTTGGTCTTCAAAACGGTAAATCTCATTCTCCACCGTCGGATCTGTAATTCACCGTCCGATCTTCTCACAAAATTTTGTTTACTCTGTTTCTAATCTCAGAACTTACAAGAACGGATTCGTATGGCACGATTTATCAGAGGAAGATTTCATTTTTCCCGTTCATGGCCAAGAATATGTACTCAAAGGCTCTCAAATTCTTGACCTTGATAATAACTCCGGTAAAGAATCTAACTTCTCTGCCGTCACTCACCGGCGTAACCAGTCTTGGAGCTCTATTGATCAATACAAAGCGCCCACTGAGTCAACTCGTAAACTCGCGACGGATGCTTCAACACAGACTGATGATTGTCGGCGGAGGAAAAGTCCGGCGAAAGAGGTGGATGAGATCACTGAGCTGAGTAGAGAAGAGGTTGCTTCGCCTCCACAGTCAGATTCGAGTCCAGAAACATTAGAATCATTGATGAAAGCAGATGGACGGTTGATATTGTTTCCGGAAGATCAAGAATTGAATCGGACGGTTGAGAAGATGCGTCCTTCGGCTGTTCTCATGCAGTTGATATCGTGTGGTGCGATGTCGTTCAAGAAATGTGGTCCGACGCTAATGAATGGGAACACGAGTAGTACGGTGGAATGGAGAACAGGTAATTATAGGCTCGAGAGGGCAGAGAAGGAGTTAAGGAGTTTTGGAAGGGTAAAATTGGAAGAGAAAGAGTATTTTAGTGGTAGCTTGATTGATGAGAGTAGTAGTAAGAAGGAAGTTGTTCCTGCTTTGAAGAGGTCTTCTTCTTACAATATTGATAGGTAAACAAACATCAATAATAATAACTCTCTTTTTAATTACTTCTTGTTGGTGAAACACCACGATGTTTTTATTTGAACATGCCAACAATTGGTTGTTTGTGTGAGTAGATGTAAGAGCTTAAATTGATAAAGTGTAGAAGAACGTTTTGGCATTTATTCTTTTACCGAAAAGTCTCATAAACTTGTTTGAATAATAACATTATAGGTAGCTAATTGAGTCATATGAGTTTTCTTAAGGGAACTATATATAGATTTGAGATGAATTTGGTATTTACGTGTTCTAATGGCGATATTAATCAACTAATATTGTCTTAGGAGTTCAAGGATGGGGTTGACGAAGGAGAAAGATGGGGAAGACGTGGCTCGGGCTAAATTTTTTTTTTTTTGATAACCCAGTATCCAGACCACACAGTGATCTGACTAGCCCACTGGGCCTAAACCCGCGTCACAGGGATTTTTAAGCCTCCACTTAAGGGCCCCCTGATAAACTGGTGGTCTGGGGCGCCTGAGCAAGTCCGCAGGTAAATTCCCAGGTGGCCACAGGAGTGAGAGAGCGAAACTGCGTCTGGGGAGGATCGATCCCTGGCCTAGACCAACAGGGCGATCCTTCCAACCAAACGAGAACCACTCGCCCACCACCATGTGGTTGGCTCGGGCTCGGGCTAAATTTATTCAGAGAAACCCAAATTCGTGGTGGACAGGCCCATAACAATGCAAAGGCAGGTGTTTGATAAAGCCACACGAGTGTAATTGCATTGAGGTGTTTTTTTTTTACTATGTTTTGGTTGAGTAAACAAATACAAAGTATGATTGTTACATGTAAATATGTTGTACGTAGTTTGACGTTTGGTGTTTTATTGAGGTCAATATGAATATGATTGTTTTTAGAATCTTCCAATTTCTATATTTTCTATGCATGTTTGACTATTTTCATTCCTATGTTTCAACTTATATGTATCTTAGACGTTCAAAAGTTTATTATTGTTTATATACGTTACATTTCGAACAAACGATTATTTACAAGTATTAGTTGTTGTAGTTAATGACTTCTCAAATTTGAAATCTTGTTTTTATTTCTTTTTGCCAAGATTTTAAATCTAGACCGAATTCGCAGAGCAGATTAGAGTAGCCGGTCTTTTGCAGCTCTCTAGACCAATTTGGTGTTTTTCAATACTATAAGATTTCAAATTTCTTAATTCTTGATGTCTTCCATTCCAAGGCCTTTAATTGTTAATGTGTTTTTGCTTAGCTTGGGCTTATAAAACAAAGTTTGGTACTTTCTTTTGTAAACACTAAACAGCATTCTTGGGCTCATTATAATTTAATGTGTGATTGTAAGAATAAAGAGTCAAAACTCTTTGCACAAAAAAAAAAAAGAGTCAAAGCTCTATCAGTCTATTGTGAACAAAATATATCAAAACTGCAAAGAAAACAAATTTTTTTAGGCATTTTTATAACTCTTAAGACTGGATATGAGATTCTGTTCCTCTTCCAATTTTCACAAAATAAGTAAAATTAGACATTAGTTTAGCCATAAATAGTTAAAAAAAAAAAAGATTCAATCAATTTTAATATTTCTTTGCTGCTGTAAAAATGTTTGAAGAATAGAGCCATAATTGTTGCGAGGTTCCATTTGGTATTTAATTACTACGAAAAGTTTTGTCTTTGCAACATTAATATAAGTATTACGTACGTAGCATATGGTTACAAAAATGAGTAGACATATAATTTATCGTAAAAAGCGTTCCCCCATGTATATAAAGTTGCATATTTTGTAGTAATTAAATACCAAAAGTTGCATACTTGTTAGAATATATAATTAAAGTAATTAAGAAAAGGACTTGTCATAAATTTACATGGTTGTTTTTTTATATATATATGCGGCTGTAGATTATGGCTGATGAAATGCTTATCTCCACCCGCTGGCAAAAAGCTAGTGATTGCTTAATTGGACAAACACTTTGTTTTCTTCTCTAGGAATAATAATTAGTGAACAAAATGGAATTTTAATTAGTGTAAAATAGAGGTTTCCTTTGAGAATTGTACCACAATAAGGCAAAGTGACGATTGCATAATTCCCAAGAGAGGAATAATCCAAATGTCAAAGACCCAAAGATGCAATCATTTTCTTTTTGCTTAAGACAAGAGTTTACTCTTTTGCACGAAGATGATAAAATTTCTAAAAGCACCGATTCTATTTTCCATAGACTATGGATCTAATGCCCTTTTTTTTGTTTCTTTTTCTTCTTGGGTAGTCATGAAACTAGCATCTTAGTACCAATTAACATAAAATAAAAATTCAAAAAAATCACAAATTTGCTCACAAATTCTATAAAAAACTATGTAAATTATTTTTTAAATATAATTACTTAACAATATATATGATATGTATCTATATTTAAATTACAAACACAGAAAAGATTCAAAAAAAAAAAAATTGTCAGGATATTTTTTCTAGGAATATTTTTTCTTTTTTTGATGAGGTGACATGGATTACTAAGGACGACCGCGACATGGCAAAATATGAATTCAATCCATTGATCTCTATGAATTTTGGAATTCATTTTTATCCGTCGAATCCCGCAAAAAGAAGCAAAAAATAGTAACTTCATTTTCAGAATCTCATTCCATTTTTTTAGCATCTCAATATTGATGGTTATGTCCCTTATGTTTCTAATGGAAGTGATCTTAATAGAAGTAATTTACATCTATGTAAATATTAGATATTGTGGATCAAGAAATGAAAACTTGAATATTATAGGTTTCCCATCTTTTAAGAACATTACTCGGAAAGATAAATTCAGAAACAACACACATGTATTTTATTTTATTTTGGTATTAAACAGCACACATATATTATACGAAAGTTTGTAGCATATTTAAAAAAATCTAAAAAACTGATCAATGACTAATGTTTAAGTAAAGAGTATAATAGAAGAACTCTAGACAGTCACTATATGAATGAGTGGTTGCAAAGCTGCAAACTTTGAGAATGATGACAATAAAAAGGCTTAAACATTTCTTTCTTTCAAAGGGAAATTTGCTACTTTACGAATAAATAATATCATCGCTTTCGCTTATCTAGCCTAAATTATAGACGATACACATTTATTTTTTTAAAAGAAGCAAGATATTCTTAAGTAATCTTTGTTTTCTGTAATATTAGTTTGACTATATATAATATAATCTTATATATTAAAAGTAGACTACTCCATATGGGGGATAAAATATCATTGCATACGTAAGTTTTGATGTGGATGTGGGCTTTATACCTTTAGGGCGTGCTCATCATCTTCATAAGAATATCCATCGCATCGATCTTCATCCTCTTTAACAACTACGGCTTCTTCTTTTGCATTACTCAAACCTTGTAAAAAAATACAGAAGCACATATATATTATATATTATTTATAAGTACATCTATCATCTATGTATGCTTTCATATGCATGCATATGTCACATATGATGTGTGGAATGATGGTACACGGTACATGCATGAAGATTGAAACACATGCAAGGTACATGAAGATTGAAAACACATGCAACGCAAGCATAACTATGTGTACGTATGGACGGACGACATCTTAAAGAAATTACTCTAAAACCATTTGAAATCAAAAGAAAAATGATTGCAACAATAGACATCTATGCACTTGATCAATAAAAATCAAGGGAATATATACTGTATCACAAAAGAGGGTTATTTTGCTCTTAAACCATTGGAATTTCAAAAGAAAATATGATTCCACAAGTAGACATGCAAAATGAAAAAATCTTTCTTCTATCCTTCGACTAGCGGCTCAACAAATGAATCAATTTTTTCAGTCATATTCCGGATTATTTGCAGGATGGTCCAAACCATAATTCACATATTTTAAAACTAATTTTCACATTTCTATTAGCAACGGTAATTAATAGAAAATATAGGTATTATTAAATTTGCGTGTGGGAGTCACGAGGCAAAGAGGAGGATATAAATATTTTTAGTGGAGAGATTGGCCATAGAGGAGTGTGTTGGTGACGTCCACGTCCCTCAATCTCATTTCTTAATATGGCTCCACTATAAAGAATCGGTGACCAATTTCAAATCCTCTCCGTTCGTTTTGTTGAAGTTTGGAATCTCAAGTAAATTCATTAGATTTCTAAATCATAAAAGAATATATAGTTAGACATGATGATCAAACCCAACTAACAATAGAATATATTTGTTTATCAATCATCTTCTAATCATATTCTTCCAAATGTATTGGTATAATTGCTTCCGTTAACCACCTCATTAACTGGTCAAATCCAACTAATAATCATGCATCACTTCAAATGCAGTAGCTTTCAAAGTGTGGTGTTGTGTAGAATATTTTTGAGACAAAAGGACAATTTTGGGAATCCCAAAGTAACACGCATGAATGATAAACCCCTAGAAGCCGAATCTAATCGAGCTTAAAAAATAAAAAGCAGAACCACATGATCTGGAAAATATATAAGAATAGTTTTTTATGAAGACTTAGCTTTAAATGGTTGTAGTGGATGAAATAAACTAAACTGTTTGCGGATTGGATTGGATTGTTCTTTTTTTTTTAATTGAATGTAAAATTTATTCAACCAAAACCCTTGTTATACAATGAATGCATCGATTTGTTTTGAATGTTTAAAAAACATAGAGAAATTGCAGAGAGTTTTAGAGATCTGCATTTTCGAGGACCAACTGCGGACTGTCTTTACAAGAAACAAAAATTTTGTTAGCGTTTGACATTAACTCTCGCAATTTTATAAAAATATTTTATGAAAACCGTAAATGGTTTCTATTCCAAAAATATGATAATATTTTCTCTCCTCATCTCCAGTAAAAACAAATGCTAAGTGTTTGAAAGAATCAGCATGTGTCAGTAACTTTTCTGATAGCCAAGAAAAGGAAAACGAAAGAACAAATTTCCAAATAAAATCAACACTTCAAGCTAATATTTCCAAATAATTAACTTAAGAAACTCAATTCATATTAGAGCCATCTCTCTCCATTCCTATTAAGCTTATATACTTGACATCTAGCTCTAGCTCAATTTCAAGAATGGTTTAGGGCCTCTTTAGAATCATTTCTAATTGTTAATATTTTAATTTCTCTGGCTTTAATACAGGGAAATATAGTAAAAAGATACTTCTTTTTTTTTTCTTTTGGCTTGAACTATTGACAATGACATAGGAGATAGTGCACTTGCAAATATGGAGTATAAGAAAGAGTTCTTATTACCACACACACCCACCAAAAAATAAAGACAAAAACTAATGGGAGTGTTACGTCAGTACATCAATCACCTCTTTTCTCAATTAATACATGTTTAATTACCCCATATGTTCATAACCAAAGGCCACAAATACCAACTTAGTTCTACCTCAGTTTATTGAATCTTGAGAATACTATGCCAATAACAGAGAAGCAAATACATACTAGTCTCTGTCTCTTATGTGCCTGCACACTCAGAGTCATGACTATCTCTCTCATATACATGTGTAAATGTGTGTGTGTGTGTGTGTGTGTGTTAGGACAATGTTGCAGGGCCAAGATGAAAAATTACAGGCCACAGACACAAGATCTTAAGAAAGTATCTAATTCCTATCTCAGGTACTGTTACTAGATACAAAAACTCACTTATCAAGCTCCCACAACAAAATTCGACTTCTAAAGCTGTCCAAGCTTTTGTCGGTTTCTTCTTCTCTCTTTTCCTTTTCTAAGCTTCAACAGTTTCTACCAATATAACCCTTAATAAAGTCAAGAGACACTTCTCTCATATCCCCACAAAAAAAAAGTTGAAGGGTCTTAATTTATACTATTTTTAACACCCATGGAAATTTATATTAAAAGTTTTTCTACTTTAAATATAACAAGAAACTATAGAAAACCATACCTTCTTCTTTTTTGGATTGATTTAGGAGATTTTCTGATGCTATTGAAATCCACATTCGAGATAGTGCCTTCCAAAAATATAAGAAAGAGTTCTTATTATCACACACGGCACAAAAGATAAAAGGCAGCAGAATTAATGGGAGTGTTACATCAGTAACACCAATAACACTCTTTAACGATCAAGTTTTTTTTGATATAATGGCCTTGTGACATCACTATAAAGAGACCCTACATTGTCAATAGGATAATCTCTCAAACATATGGACACTAAAGATTGGAAAAAAAGAAGAAGAAATCATTAGAGATTTAATATTGCGAGTGTGATATCGTGTAGACACACCACAGTGTTATAAAATTTACCTTATAAATATAGTGGCCAGAGGATGCCATGGTGAAGCAAGCTGAGAAATAACTTTTTAAACAAGAGAGAGATAAAGAAGAGCTAAAGAGAGAGATGAAAATGATGCAAGAGGAGAACCGAAAAGGTCCATGGACAGAACAGGAGGACATACTTCTGGTAAATTTTGTTCACTTATTTGGAGATCGACGATGGGATTTTATAGCAAAAGTATCAGGTTTGAAGGTGGAGGGAGAAAGATAAGAATAGGTAAGGAGCCACCATTAATGAGCTAGTTTTGGTTGTAGGTTTGAACAGAACAGGAAAGAGTTGCAGGCTAAGGTGGGTTAATTACCTTCATCCTGGTCTCAAACGCGGGAAGATGACGCCTCAAGAAGAGCGCCTCGTCCTTGAGCTTCACGCAAAGTGGGGAAACAGGTCTGATCTATCTAAGAAGGAAACAAAATTATGGTTACTTGAATCTCAAGTTATTGTTGTAACAAGTATTGATACTTAATTTTTTTCCATCTATATCTATTCAGGTGGTCTAAAATAGCCCGAAAATTACCGGGTCGAACGGATAACGAGATAAAGAATTACTGGAGGACTCATATGAGGAAGAAAGCTCAAGAAAAGAAGCGTCCTGTTTCCCCAACTTCCTCATTTTCCAACTGCAGCTCTTCATCTATGACCACTACCACCACCAATACTCAAGATACATCGTGCCATTCGCGGAAATCTTCAGGGAAAGTGAGCTTTTACGACACTGGAGGATCCCGATCCACGGGGGAGATGATGAGTCAAGAAACCGAAGACATATACTCAATGGATGATATATGGAGAGAGATTGATCACTCAGCAGTAAACATAATAAAACCGGTTAAAGACATCTACTCAGAACAAAGCCATTGCTTAAGTTACCCAACTTTGGCTTCTCCAACATGGGAAAGCTCATTGGATTCTATATGGAACATGGATGCAGATAAAAGTAAGATGTCGTCTTCCTTTGCAAATGATCAGTTTCCTTTCTGTTTCCAACACAGTAGATCACCATGGTCGCCAGGTTAAAATTAAGATTTAATTCATTGAGATAAATCTGTTTTATATATATGTTATATAACTTATAAATACTTTAATAAATACAATAATACCTAACGAATGTAATAGTTATGTTTGATGAGCACAAAAACAGCCTAAGTCTGGACTCTGTAATCATCACTTGTGTAGTAAGTAAGCAGCCTAAGTTTGTGTCTAGAATGAATAAGAATAAAGTTTTGTGATCCCACTCTTTTTTTTTCGTCAATGTATAATACAAGTCAAGATTCTAATTCTAAAGTAAACTACATTTCAATTTTCAGAAATTTTTCTATGTTTCTTTTTGGTGATATCTCTCTTTAATATATCAACAAACAATTGTTGAAAATTTTCATTAATTAAGGTAACTAATAAGCAAATTTGGACAAGAAAGTTATGAAAGTACATCATCTTGTCTGTATTCTTAGGGTGGAGTTATTATTTAGTATCTGAAATCCGATATATATAGAATCCATTCCAATCCGATAAAAATATCTATATATATCTCGAGAATGGTCGAGATAGGATCAAGATAGTAAAATCTCGAATCCGGATATGGTGATTTTAAGGTTTATATCCGGATCCGGATCTTAAAAATTTTCAACATTTAAAACATTTGAGATTAATTTACTCTTGTATGGTTAAATTTAAACATTTTTCAGCATGAATTTAAGATGGTTTATATGTCTCTTGGATTTAAATCTAAAAGAAAATGACAAAATTACTCCTGGTAATCATGATATTTTTATAGATATCTGAAAAATATCCCTAGGGGAGTTATTGGTAGATGGATTTATGAAGATTTAATTTGTTTATAGATTCCATTGTTATTAGTTCATGGAATCTTACATTCTTAATGAAATCTAATGTTACTGGTTTAATGACTTTTAAATTGTGTTCAAAATCTTTTGTTATTCAAAAAGTTTAGTGATCAATAATCATTGACTCTATACTTCTATTAAAATCCAATGTTATTGATTCTCTATATATTTACTCATACGACACAACTCTCAAAATCTCATGGATATACATGAGAGTCTTACAATTTACGCAAAAAACCACACACACACACCCACACACATAAATCCATATTTGATATAACCATAATTTTATAAGTAAATCTTTACAACACAAAATCTTTAGATGTATATATTTACAAAACAATAAACATGGACCACACTTACCGATATACCCAGAATTGTAAGAAATACAAATTTCATTACTTTGTTTATATTTTATAAAGATAATTCAATATACATTTAATGAAAGATTAAAAACCCAGAATTCGTTATGCCAATGGGAAATAAACAAAAAATATGGATCACTAAAAATAAATAGTTATTATTTATACACATAAAAAGACTTTCTTCAAAATTATATTAAATATATGTAAATTCAAAGAGATTACATTTGGGAAATTTATATGGAAACATAAAAATATATTACTTTTCAAAAACATTTTTTTAAAAGTTAAAAAAAATCTCTGTAATCCATGAAAATTCATAAAAGTCATTAATAATAATCTATAATAATCTTCGAAACTCTTTAAATCCCTAACTTTAAAAATCTACAAACTCTACACAAATCAACTTACCAATAACCAGATTTGGATTCTAATCCAAACATCTTAAAAGGTTAGTATATTTTTTCTCTTTCTTAAAAGGTTAGTATATTTGATCATTTTTTTCTTTGGATAACTTAATCATAAAAATAGATTTATTGATTTGTTTGTGTTAACTTTTTTGTAATTATGATTTGAAATTGAAATATTAATTAACATATGATATTGAAATATATGAAGACCGACAGATAAGTGGCAAAAATCTATGTTTAAAATTCAATATGATAGGGATAATAAAGTTAACATTAATAATGCATCCTATAACGTTTGGGGAAATAATGTAAATTGGTTCTTACTTCGTAGACACCAGACTCAATACTAAATCAATAACGCGCCAAAGTTAGTTTATTATAAATAAATAACGCGCCAAAATAACGGATTTACAAAATTAATAACGTGCCAAAAGTTTGAAGTTGACTGAAAAACAAAATACATTTACCTAAAATTTATATTTTTTTATTTACTTACCTAAACATAGGATTATTTTTTTTGTTCTTTAACTTTAAAATTTTGGATATATATACATTGAATACTTTCTTCCTCTAGAGTCATCTTTATTTTTTAGTTCTTAGAATATAAAAGCTCGTGCAAATGATCAAAGTAAACCAATTGTAAAAGAGACACAGTTTTTGTTTATTCATTAGTAGTCTTTGATTGACTCCATTGTTGAAGGTGAGGTATCCTTTATTTCCTCAAAAATTTCTTGCTTAATGTTTCAGTATTTTTATTTATTTTATAAATTGATTACACTAAAAAAATGAAGGGAAGGCTCTTGACCATTTTTCTTTGCTTCACTATCAAATTTTTTTACAGGGAAAGCGAGATGGATTCTAGGATCTCCATGTCCGCTTATTACAGACGATATGGTCAAAGGAAGCTCAACGATTTGTCGAACCCGCCTCTTAAAAAGCCCAAATATTCACCTACGAAGAACGGCATCGTGATATCCGACTCATCAAGCAACACGATGACCTCTCCTCTTCCCCAAACCCCTACTTTGGCTGTAAAACAATCTCCGACCATTCTTCATCGACAACGTTGTTCGAAGAACAAGAGAAAGAGGAGCTCAACACCTCCGCCTTTGGAGAAGATTAGTAGTAGTAGCAAAGAGATAAGCGAAGGATCATCCACCCAGGGTGGACTAGTAAAAAAGTCTTCGTGTTGGGTCAAATCTCGGTTGCTTGGAAAAGGGGCTTATGGTTCTGTTTATCTAGCGACATATAAGAACGAAGAGAGAGCAATCAAAACTGTAGAAATTTCACGTTCTTTGAGTCTCATCGACGAGGGAAGGATCCTAAGAGGATTGCAATCTCCCTATGTGATTAGCTATTTCGGCGATGAGATGGTACGTGAAGGAAATGGTCATCGTTACAACTTGATACTTGAGTATTGCTCTGGCCAAAGTCTAGGAGATTTGATTAGGAATAATCACGGAGGGTTAATGGAGTTTGATATAAAGCTGTTCGCTAGAGATGTTCTGTGTGGTCTCATCCATATTCACGAATAAAACATTATTCATTGTGACATTAAACCCGACAATCACTTACTCAGCCCTCTTGATCACCGATTTAGGTCTAATGAATATATAGCCAAGATTGGGGATTTTGGTTTAGCATTAGAGAAAGGGTCGGTGGAGTATAGAAATGGATCGGGTCATAAGAGAGGTACTAGAAGGTATATGGCTCCGGAGCTAATAAGCCATGGTATTGTGGACTTTAATGTTGATACTTGGTCGTTTGGATGTTCGGTTTTGGAGATGTTAACCGGGAAACAAGTTTGGGGAGAGTATGGTCATTTAACTAAAGAAGATTGGATCGATCTAATTGGTCACACTGATCTCATTCCTCATATACCGAGTGGGTTACCTGCAAAAGCTCAAGATTTTCTGAGGAAATGCTTAGTTAAGGATCCTAATTCAAGGTGGGGGGTCAGAAAACTCGTCAGCCATCCCTATCTCAGTTACTATTAGATGTAGATTTGTCTAAATTTTAACTGGGATCAATATAATCAAGAGCCTTTTAACTTTCCTTTAATGCAAAATGAATATCAACATTTAAGTCGATGTACTATGTAAAAATATAAAAGGCATTTGAAAAGAAAAATGTAAAACCTATGAGGTTCAATGACGTTCTGATATGCTTCTTCTATAACATATTTAGTTATATTAAAATTGTGTTACTTATTGTATACAAGTATTAATTAATTACTTGGTTTAATAATGGATAGTTTTGACTATTTCATTTATATTGAAAGAAATTAAGAAAAAAAATCATATATTTGGAGATTACGAGTGTGCATGTGCGAAGATGATATGATTATCACTTTTCGACTTTTACGCTGATCCGTTGATACTTAATAAATCTAACTAAATTCGCAATTAGTTAAGCAAAATCCACACAAGAAAAAAAAAAGAAAACTCTAACGTTGACTAGGTCAAATGAAAAAACACCAAAAGCTAAAAGGAAAACACAACAGAAGCCTATAAAAAAGTCTACTTTCCGATTCATCAAGCAACAACACGATGATCCCTCCTCTGCCTCAAAACCCTACTTTCACTCTAAAACTCTCTCCGATCATTCTTCATATACCTAACACGATAAACAAGAAAAGGATGAGATTTACACCGCCGCTTTTGAAAAAGAAGAAGAAGAGTAGTAGAAGTAGAAGTATCAAAGAGATCACCAAAGAAGTATTCGATGGAGTAGTGAGAAAGTCTTCTTCTTGGATCAAGTCTGAGTTCCTTGGAAGAGGCTCTTACGGTTCGGTTTATCTAGCAACAAGTAAGAAAGACAAAGGTAAAACGATCATGGCTATAAAATCTGCAGAGATCTCACGAGCTTCAAGTCTCATGGAGGAAGAAAGAATATTAACCGGTCTCTTATCTCCTTTCATTGTTCGTTGCTATGGCCACGAGATTGCACTTGAGGAGACTCTGTTCGGTGGATCGAGAACGAACTACAATTTGATTCTCGAGTATTGCTCCGGCAAAAGCCTTGCGGACCTGATCGAGAATAACATAGGAGGATTATCAGAGAAAGATGTGAAAGTTTTTGCAAGAGATATCCTTAACGGTCTCGACTACATCCATAGGGAAAATATTATTCATTGTGACATTAAACCGGAGAATATCTTACTATCCCCTGTGGAGAACCGGATAAGACCTAATGGGTATGTGACAAAGATTGGAGATTTCGGTTTAGCATTAGAGAAGGGTCAAGCGAGTATGGAAAAGCATCGGGTCATACAAGGGGCACAACTAGATACATGTCTCCGGAGCTTATACGCCACAAGATAGTTGATTATGCTGTTGACATTTGGGCTTTTGGATGCACGGTTTTGGAAATGTTTACGGGACAAGAAGTATGGGGAGAACATAGTGATCTCGGTCCTGTAGATTGGGACAGTCTTATTGGTCAAAGCAGTTTCATTCCTTATATACCGGATTGGTTATCTGAAAAAGCACAAGAATTTCTGAGAAGTTGTTTGGTTAGGGATCCTGGTTCCAGGTGGGGGATTGGTGCACTCATGAACCATCCCTTTTGCAATGTGGATGTATAATTGTTTAATAATGGTTTTTTTTTATGTCTGATTAGTAACCTTGAGTTTATGATTCAAATATTATTAGTTTTTGAATCAACTACGTATTTAATATGTGTGTGGAATTTTTTATTACCATAAATCATACTTGCGGGATAAATGAATAAACATGATAATGATAGAGACTTTATAACTTTCTTAACTTTGAATCTGTGTATTATTTTTGTAAAATTTTTGAAACAATATCTCAACTTTGAATCTGTGTATTATTTTTGTAAAATTTTTGCATAGTTTTTTGTTTAATGTTTATTTATGTTTTGCTCATTTTTTGCTTAATGTTTGCTTACTTTTGATCAATTATTGTTTTTTTATTTAAATTATTTCAATAATCATAACATATTGATAGATGTGTAGTTACTATAAAAAATTTGCATCGAAAAAGTTCAAATCGACGAGTTAAAGCAAAAACCCTTTTGTTTTGTCCTTTTATGGCCACGAGGTCACTGTGGAGAAGGACGAGAAGAATCCTTTACTCGAGAAGATGTACTACAACACGTTACACAAGTACTGTTCATGAAGAAACCTTGCGAAACACTTTGAAAGAAATAGAGGAAAATTACCGGAAGATGATGTAAAGAGTTTCGCTAGTGATATATTGGCTAGTCTCAAGTATCTTCATGAAGAGAAGATCATTTCACTGTGATATCAAACCAAATGATATCTTACTTGCGTTTGAGAATAATTGATTTCCTAAGATCGCTGGTTTTGGAAAAGCGATAAAAAAGGGTCGGTTGAGTATGGTGATGGATTAGGTCATAGGAGAGGCACTCATGGTTTTTGTCGCCTGAGGTTATGATGGGCATGGATTTGGATTATGGTGCTGATGTGTGGGCTTTTGGGTGTACCGTGCTTGAGATGTTGACTGGAGAACGAGTTTGGAGTGAGTTTAATAAGCTTGATTGGGAAGGTTTGAAAAATCTTATTGGTAAAAGTGGTATTGTTCCCCATATTCCTTATTACTTGTCTGAGAAGGCAAAGGATTTTTTCACAAAGTGTTTGGAGAGAGACCCTGCTAAGAGGTGGTCTGTTGATAGTTTGCTTAAACATGAGTTCCTTAAATGGATTGACGAAGAGGAAGAAGAACAAATATACGAAGAAGAAGAGGAAAAAGAAGAACATGCATATGAAGAAGATGACTTTTATGATGAAATAGGAGATGTGGATGTAGAGTATGAAGTAAATCTAGAAGCTGAAGTAGCATTTGAGGAAGAAGAAGCCATTGAAATAGATGAAGAATATCCTATAAAGGATTCGGAAGATGACCTATAGAAAGATGTTCATGTTAATTTTCACACTTTTTTAGATCTTGTTACATTATTTTATATGACATTAATGCAAAAACAAGGATGATTATTTTCAAGAGAAAATATGTTTCAGTTTCACATAAGTAACTGATTTTCCAAAAAACTTGGTATTTAGTGTCAATTAAACTCAATATCACTGATATTAGAAGCTGAAAAGGGTACTAATATAATATAATTTTCAAGAGAATGCAAATTTTCAATATATAAAAGCAAAACATCAATATCACTGATTTTAGAAGCTGAAAAGAATGTTTTGATAAGTTGGGATGTCTAAAACAATAAATGAATAAAGGTTAATGTATATGACAAAGGAGGAAAAATGAAACTTTTTTTTTATATGATTCGAATCTTGTTTGCAGCATCCAACGCAGGGTCGGCTCAATTAATTTGGAGTCCCTGTACAAATTTTAAAAATTGGCTCAATCTTCATACAAAAAAAAAAAAATTGGGCCTTTTTCATGTTAAAAATATCTTAAAGTTTTAAAAATTACATTTTTTTCATACTAAAAAAAAAATTGTACTTTTAAATTTACCCAAAAAAATTGGGCCCTGCACATTTGCTCATCTTGAGCACCCCAAACGATAAGCATCATAATCCGCTGTCAACCTCACAAAAACCGTGTTGGTGTCATAGGATGTGATCAAAGTGTATCGTTCTTGCTCTGGATCTCGTACTTCTTCTTGAGCTCAAATGTCAAACTTGTTTCTGAGTATTTTGCGTTCCATTGGGTTAGTCAAAGTCCTTGGTCTGTGAAATGTAACTTTGGCTTTGATCTTATTAGCCCTCTTCTTGAAAGTTTCACCTTAATTTTTCAGCCTTCACCGTCTGAGACTTTGGCCTTTTTGGCAATGTCACTTGCAAGTGTTTAGAACTGTAAACCAATAATCCACTGCATAGTCTAATCAACTTAACTAGTATCTCTTGAACAAGTTTCAGAGGAAAATAGACAGAATCCACATGACTCCAAAATAGTAAAATCTACACTAGAATCAGTAACAGAATTCAAAATTCGCCTAAGAATAAAGAATCTCAAGGAACTAATACATATTGGGCCCAAAGGCCTACATTTTGTACAGAGATGAGATTTTGATAAAAAAGAATTGGTTTTTAATTCCGGTTCGGTTCAGGGCGAGAACTGATTGAATTTTGTTTACAATTTTAACTAGCGAGTGCAATTGATAAAGAAAAAAAAAAAGGAAATTCATATTTTGCTTCGGATATTATTAATCACAAAAATTGGAACTTTTTACCCAAACCGTGTAACAGCTGCCAGCTGGATAATTGTTTTTTTGACTTATATCAAACTTGAGTCCCAAGGGTTACAAAACACAGATCAGTTTATAAATACGGTCTCTCTCGCAGTCTCGCCTCCTGTTTCATCGCTTTTTATTTTTAATAACAACAATTCCGAGAAAATAGAAAGAGATAGAGTTTTAGATTGAGAAAGATGTCAACATCAACATCTTCTCGATTAGGTCAATGGGAGGACGACGACTCGAACCGTCCTCACAAGAAGTTTAAGTATTCACGAACCACATCAGAGACGAACGTGATAGACGATGATGCAGACTCTTCGAACCGTTCAATCACAAGAACGCCAGAAAGTGATTCGTGGGTGGTGACTCGTTATCTTGGAAACGTCTCCGGCTCATACGGCTCTGTTTACTTAGCAGTCAGAACAACCCACGAAAACGATCTTCCTTACGAGATGGTCATCAAATCTAGTCAGTTCTCAGAAGCAGCATATCTTATGAACGAGGAAAATTACTTAACACGTCTCAAAAGCCCGTTTATCGTCTCCTGTTACGGCCATGAGATGACAGAGGAGAAGAACGAGAAGAAGAAGTACTTCAACACTATACACGAGTATTGTTCTGGTCAAAGCCTTGCGAAACACGTCAAAAGCCATGAAGGAGGATTACCAGTTGATGATGTGAAGAGATACGCTAGTGATATCTTGTTTGGTCTCAAGTGTATACACGAAGATGAGATTATTCACCGTGACATCAAGCCAAAGAACATCTTACTCACGCCTAGCGGCAGTGGGTTTATGGCTAAGATCTCTGGTCTTGGAAACGCCATTGAGAAATGGTGGATTGAGGATGGTGGAAGCTGGAATCATAGGAGTGGCACTGCAAGGTTTATGTCACCGGAGCTTATAGGGGACATGGTTTTGGATTATGGTGCGGATGTGTGGGCTTTTGGCTGTACCGTGCTTGAGATGTTGACTGGAGAACGAGTTTTGAGTGAGTTTGGTAAGCTTGATTGGCAAGGTTGGGAAACTCTCATTGGTAAATGTGGAATTGTTCCCTATATCCCTGATTACTTGTCTGATAAGGCAAAGGATTTTCTCACAAAGTGTTTGGAGAGAGACCCATCTAAAAGGTGGTCTGTTGATAGTTTGATCAAACATGAGTTCTTGAATGACGAAGAAGCGGAAGAAGAAGAGGAGGAGGCATATGAAGAAATAGGATATGCAGAGGTAGAAGCATATGAAGCAAATCTAGAAGCTGAAGCGGCATTTGAAGAAGAAGAAGAAGAAGAAGAAGAAGTAGAAGAAGAAGGAGAAGAAGCAATTGAAATTGAAATTGATGAAGAATTTCCTAAAGAGGATTCGGATGAAGATTGAAGACGTTGATGTTAATGTCAAGTCACACTTTTTATAATCTTATTTCATTATTTGTTTAATATTTGCAAAATTAGGATGATTATTTGTAAGACAAAACTATGTTTCAGTTGCTCTGTATATATTGATTTTGAGATATTGTGTCAATCGTACTTGAGATGATAAAAGGGGATTTATAAAGAGAATGCAAATTTTATGGAATAATTTGGGTTCTTTGCTTAGTCAAAGTCCATGGTCTGTGAAATGTGACTTTTGGTTCTGTTCTAATCTTCTTAGCCTGCTCCTTGAAGCTTGCTCTTGACTTATGCAGCCTGAGACATTGTCCTTTTTAGCAATGTCACCTGCAAGTGTTTAGAACTGTAAATCACAAAATTTACTCCTTCGAAGATGTTGAAGTTGCTTAGTTTTCTTGAAGGATTCTGAACAAGTGAAATGATACAAATGTCTCCTTGTTGATTCTGCAGCTGTTAGCAAATAGTTGAAGTCCCGTTCCAAAGTAGCGAGCTTGGCACGAAGAGTTTGCTGAATCTCTCTATAATAACCAAACTCTGTTTGATCCATTAACCCAAAATTGTTGTTGTATCAAATTCTGTGTTTATATGAAGGAAATTAACTGATATGAATCAGCCATTGTATCACAAATTTATGATATTTCTTGATACAATATCAAAACTCCATTACAATCTTACACAACCATTTTAGCAACTCTACAATAAACAGTAAATAATTTGATCATCAGACTGCTTGTCTGCACAAAAGGTAGAAGACAGAAACAAGAAACTCCATTTGGCATTTGCAAACATTAGGCTCTATGAGTACCCGTCCTACGTCATGTATGACTCAGTCGAACTCAACCGCTTACTTTTGTTAGTTAGATGCCTCAAAGTCAGAGAGATCATTAGATTTGGCTGGTAACTGTTTAAGCATCAGAGAAGATAAGACTCTCTCTGTGCTTTAAGGGTTTCCCTTCAGAGGCTGAGCCTCTTCATCCGGTGGAAGTTCTTGAGCTGCCTGTGGATTTTCTGATCTCTTCTTCAATAAGGTTTTAGCATATAAAGACCCGAAAACAATTACCTGCGCCAGTGAAAAGCGGGTTTCAGTAAGTGATAACAAGAGAGGGAAGGAAAAGTAAAGAGAGGCTTGGAGGAGCTTACGGATCCAATACACTGCTCCCAGCTAAGCGGGTGTGAGAACCAAATGCAGGAGAGCATAATGCTCACAAGCTTTTTATTTTTCAGAAAAAGAAGAAATTAGATTTGATTATATTGTGCTTAGGAATCAAAGAGTTGAGATCAGAGTAACTAACTAACTAACTAACTTACCTGTCTTGTTGTCATTATGGCAGCAAACGTTAGAGCACCAAATGTCCTAATGGTGTACGAAATGAAAAATTGGCTGGCTGTTGCTACCTGCAAAACAATGTGTTCATCTCTGGTTAGTTTTGACCACTGCTGCAATGCAATCATATTCTTCTGATTTGGATAAATTTTCCAGAACATGATAAATGTAATGACTAAGGTGAAAACTTACAGTGGAAAGCAAAGCGATGTCAAATAGACAATCCCTATGTCGAGAAACAAAGTCTACTGCTGGGAGTAAATGTCCTTGCAATATAAGGCCTATATCAACCAAGAAATTTCACATATGCGTAGCAAAAAGCATGGTCAACCTGATTCTCGAGCATTTTTTGGTCCAAACATTGAGGTTTATACAAGGCAGCTGAGTTCTATATCGAAAAGCACTGATGGACTAAGAGAATCACAGTCAGAATAAGAAAGTTTCCTAATATCTACGGGTTTAGATTTACTAACATATAGCCTCAGTTGAAGCTTAAATCAGAAGTTTATATATAAATCAATCAGTAATGGAAACCAATCCACACATGGTCCAGAGTCCAAACAAAATGAGAGTAAATGAGACAAAAGAAGCACAGAGAAAAGTTCTCACCAGTAAAACTAAGAATAGAGGAACAAATTGTTGTGTAGAATATCTGGTTATGTATTTCCATATTATAACCTTTAAAGAGTTTGTCTTGGAATGTACTTGTAAAACCATCAAACCTGTTAGCCATTTTACCAACACCCCAATTATGGATGCACCGAAAGAGTATTGAGATTCGTAAGTCAACAATGAAGCGAGTAAAACGGATACGTACCCAAGATAACCAACCATAAGGGATACACCCCAGACAGTATTTTCTCTTCCCTTGTTGTACGGACTAATATCATCTCCCGCCTACAAATCAAATACATAAACAACAGAGCAGCCAAGATAAGCTTACTACAAACTAATGGAGAGATCTCTTTAGAAAGATTGTGTTTTTACCGGAAAAAGAATAAACACAGAGCAGCCAAGAGTCACGAGAAACGCCACTAAATAATCAAATCCCCTATACTTTTTCTGCATGATGAGAGTTCCCCAAACCTGTAAAAGACAGCACATAGATTAAAGAGTGTTGATAAACTCACATGTACACAAAAGTTTCCTCCTTTACATAAAAACTAAGTTATCACTTACCATTACAGGTATCATTTTGGCACATTTAGCCAAAGTTTGGACTGGGAAACTCACATACTTGAGGGCCTCATATTGGCATGTTGTAGTTAAGATGTTAGTTACTGATATGAGACAATACTTATAAACCGGAGCTACAGGATCCAAAACTTTCTTGCTTGCCTACGAATACACAAATTAAGCTTCTTTAAGTATATTGAGAGATTATGAATACAAACTACAAGACAAGATTTGATAAGTGTTACCAGTAAAGCAGCAGCAGAAACAGCTGATGTAGTAAGACGATTACAGAAAACAAGAAACAAAGAGTGCTTAAAGTACTCTTTTTTCAATCCATAAGGCACTCTCATGATCTTCTCCTGCAATTACAATCACATATTCGATAAAACCCAGATCGTTTCTTGAATCAATTTGAACAATGAGAGACGAATTCGAAGGTAAAACTAAAAGGAACTAAGAGACCTGAAGAAGACCGTAGATGACGAGAGTAATCATGATCCCAGAGATAGCGAAAACAGCTTTCCATAGCTTCTTCTTCTTCTCCTTGGCTTCGTTTACAGAATCTGGCTCAGCCATTTCTTCTCCATTAACGATCCGCTTCTCTCTCTCTCCCTCGCCAAGACAACAAAAGAAACAACTAACCAAAAAATTCAATCAGGTCACGCTCGAACCGGAATTAAAACCAATTGGTTATCAAATTTTGTTTATATCGTGGGCCTTTTGGCCCAATATGTAAATTTAGAGCTTAACGACGTCGTCTTCTCTTCTTCTTTCATCCAAAACTCGTCAATGGCTGGCTCCTCGGTTACATTAAAACATTTACAATCTAATTTACTCGGTTTACACTTAACCGGAATTTCAGTAAAATAATGTTTTTGGATTTTTGTTACTCTATCTGAGTCCAAAATTATAAAGAGGTTATTTTTAAAAAACTCTTTACCCATTTTATTTCATTATCCTTAATTAGGATTTCTATAAATAAAAAGAACATTCATATGGTGATATTTAAATTTAAAAGGATTTTGGAGTATTATGTGTGATGTCGTAGGTTTTTGTATTCTAATCTTTAAAGTCATATTAATCTATAGTAAATGATAATAATATGATCTAGATCTAGCTAGATCTAGATCCATCTTCGACTAAAGAATTTATCTAATTGTCTTGATTTGTTTAATGAAACTTTCATTTTGTATCCATTAGCCTAAATCTGATGAAAGAGCTCTTGATAAACGTATATGAATCATTTGATGATTGATAAGTTTGACTATAACAACGATAACAAAAACGGATCAAAGTTGACGATTTTTTGCATCATGATGAAAGAGCTCGTAATAAACGTAGATATCATTTGCTGATTGATAAGTTTGGTTATAACCATGATAACAAAAAAAAAGAGGACAAATCTTTTTAACTTTAAATATCACCATACAAATATTATTTTTAACACATAATACTTCTAAGAAGATAGTCACGGTCACAGATAGAGAAGATTTGCTGAGGACGAGCACTAGCACTAGCACAATCCTTCTTTGGCTCAACAACTCAACTAAAACCATTACTACCAGATACAACGTCACATGTATAATTTCTACTTAGATTTAACATTCTTTTCTTACATTTTTTGTCTTTTACTCTCAGTTCTGTCTTTGAAGGAAAAAATTCATTCCTTAATGCATGGAACTACCTTCATCAGCGATGAAGGAGAAATTGACTACTACATAGCCATATTAAGATTTTGGTGGGACTTTGAAAATGGCAGGGTTGATGATATGGCAGATTATTCTAACGTTGCATCTGGTATATTCGAGTCTTGTGAACAATTTGGATATAAAAGGAGTGGTAGGAAGATATTCGCAGTTGGCTATCAAAGATCATTAGCCCACAACTATCAAGACGCCTAGAAGATAAAGGCTTCCTTGACTAAACAGTATGTAGATTTTGTACAAGGTAATGTTTTTAATTCAATCAATAACATGTGTTCCTTGTTGTTATGTCTCTCAAACTAAATTATACTAGGTCAGTACTTGTACTTTGCACGAGATTAACACATAGGTTAAAGTTTGTTTTTTTTAACGTCTTTCATTGAAGGTTAAAGTTTGGTTATATTTGAATTTTAAAGAAACTATTAATTATGTGTATAAATGATAACGTGTATATCTTACAAAGTTTATATAAAAATCGAATTATTTTGTACATTAAACCATTTAAGTTTTGTATTATCGTAGAAATGAATTGTTGCTTTCTGAATAGTATTAGATATTAGTATATATATATATAGTTGTATACATTGTGTGTTAGTGTATAGTAGAATTTGTAAATGTGTATATTTTAGTAAATATTAGTTTTAGAAATCCCGTTCTATTAGCTAAGTATTCACATATATTAAATAAACACAACAAACATATAAATTATTAAAACCAATAATTTAAAACCACATATTTCAAAAATAAATTGTTAATTTATCTGAGAGTTGAATCTATACTATTAATTGGGAAGCATTTTGTGAACTACAACATTGTGAGGGTAGTTTAAGACTAAATAAATGAATTTTTACATGGGTAATTTAGTAAATAAACAACTACTATAACTAAATAAATATATTTGATTCGGATCCTTCATTAATTTTTTGCAAAAACAAATAAGGAGATTAAATGATCCAATATATTCCGAGATTTGCTTC